GTCAGCCTTGGGGACCACCTTAGTAAAAGCTGCAGGGATAAATCTCACTTTGGGCATGGCTGGTCCAAGGGACCTCAGCATCAGGACTCTGTCTTTTGGCATTGCTCTCTACCACAGAATGCAGAGCTTCACTCTTTCCAAGGTGGTGAAAACAGCTCTAGGTAGTATCATGTGTAACTGTTCATTAGGTGAGGATACCGCCTCCCTCTTGATTCCGGCATCTGCGAGAAGCCTTTGATTGGCTTGCCTTTGGTACGTGCCTCCCTGGAAAACCAGTCACTCTGTCTAGGGGGATAATTGTATTTTGTTTGGGCAGACCTGGGTCCTGTGCTCCCCTTTTGAGCCAAAGTAGGAAGTCATCCCAACCCAAATAACAAAGAAAATGGAGAAGAGGTCATTTCAGAAAGATGCTTCTCAGGCAAAAATGGTAGTCTACTAAACAGCAGAGAAAGAAAATTGAAAGAATGGTTGGTAAACTGTATTGAGTATAAGAGGAGTTGGTTAGTTTGAGGGCTTCAGGAAAGGTCAGCTGCATTTAGAAGGCAGGAAACTGTCCTGACCTTCACTAAAAAGTAATGGTAGATATCAAATGCCAAGGTTTTATTTCAGTTGTACAAGTTCCAGTACCCAGCTTTGAATATTATGCCTTCACCTGCTTGTTGGTGAATGGGAGAAAGGTAACAGTCGCTTGGAAACCTATAAGCGCATGGAGAAGGTGCTCCAGGGGTGGCAGTGACGGGGGATATTCAGAAGCCAAGGAGAACTTTTTAGTACATAGGAAAAGAAGCAGAGAGAGGAGGCAGAACGGACCCCATAGGACCTGGAGCCAGTAGGAGGAGAACGGTTGAAAAGCTCAAGTGGAGTGACCACAAAAAGTTTCTCCCAGATTTTACATGTATACAGCATGGGGTGGGTTGTTTGCTGGGTCCTTGGTCATTTCTTTGGAATAGACAGGTATCCTTCCTTCCTTCCAGTGTGCCAGTGAGGTGTGTTTAAAGATTTCTCGCCTCTTGGCTGCATAGTTGACAAGAAAGACCCTTAGAGCACAGGTGCTCATAGTATGGAGCCTAGATTAGCACCATCAGCATCACCTGGGAATCACAGGGAAAACAAGTTCTTGGGCCCATGCCTGACTTTCCAAATCACAAATCTATGGTTTCACGAGATTCCCAGGTGTTTCTGATGCCAGTTCAAGCGTAAGAACCACCCCATCTCGCCTTCATGGAGAAGGGAGCTTTCTGTGATTGTGGTTTTGGAAAAACAGTGTGAATCGGAGCTCATAGCTCCCACGATGAAGCAGTAGAGAGGGTGTGTTAGTCATGAGAGGAAAGAGCAACCATGCAGAAGCCCCTGATAACTGAAAATGGACTGGCTTGGAGGATTAGAAGAGAGAGGGTGAACTTGTAATTCGTTCTCCAGCTTGGGAAGATCTTTCATTTGGACAAGAGGCGTCATGAGAGCTCCAAGTCCCGGAGAATGGAGAAAGGTGAGAGGGGCTTAAACTATAGCTGCTCAGGAGAGATTCCTATGCCATAAGGATTAAGTCCTAGAACGGGTTTGGATATGGCTCGCTTAATTTAAATTCAGGCTCTTCCACAAGATACTGCTAGGTGCTTACAAAACAAGGGCATAGCAAGATTTCTTTCATCAAGGAGCTTATAAACTTTTTGAGCTTTCAAGACTGAAGTTCAGTGAAGTATAAAGAGACAGCATAACAGAGTGCTGAATTGAAGGAGACCAAGGTCAAAAGCAGTAGAGGCTGTAAAAGTAGTGCAAGCAGTCAGAAGATTGGCATTTGTGTCATTTTCTTTTCTGGATGGAGGATGAAACGTGGCAGCCTGGCATCATTTCCTGGTTTGGGACAAGTTGGCCACATGAAGTCCTTTTGAGCACTCTCTCTTCTCTCAGTGTGCTAAGGTTTGTCAAAACTACTAGGTCAGAGTCACAGTTTGTAGTCTGAGACTTTGCACTTGGAGTATTATTAATATGTTTGTTTGCATGAGACTTGGAGGAGAAATGATGTGTTATCCTGGGCATCTTCAGTGGAAAGAGACTCGAACAGAAGCTTGGCAGATACATTGCAGACAGACTTTCAGGCTTGCTCCATTCATGAGGAGAACATGAATGAGCCTGCCTGAGGATGCCTTGGTTTTGTAGGATGAAGAATGCAAATTACTGATTTTCCGTAGTGGAAGAATTAAATTGAGCCAGATCTGGGATGAGAGGGAACAAGAAAACACTTCATATGAACACAGATTTTCCATTACTTTTTATTTCTTTGCATCATGCTGCTCATCTGGGTAAGTAAACAGATCCCTAAACCAAGAACCAAGAGAGAAGGTTGGTAGGCACCATTAAAGTTGGGCATAAATACTGCAGGAAAGAAATAACAAATATCCCAGTGGCCAAGGGGTAGCCAGACATTTGGAACCTAAACCAAGGTACTATTTCTTTTTTGCAAAAGTTTACATGTAATGTGAGCTGTTTTGAGTGGGTTTTCTTAAGTCCAGCTGTGGCAGACAGGTGTCCAAGAGCTTCCTTTCATTCTCCTGTGATAATGGGTACCTGGGGCTGCCTTAGAAAGCAGGGTCTTCTTCCTTGTTGCATGGAGGACAATACCTGCATTGAATGGCGATACCCAGGCAGAAGCTACTAGTGCTTGTTGCTAGATGGCTGAGCAATCAGAAGGATTCTTATGGCAAGATATTGAAGACCATTCTCCTGCTTCTTTTTTGATCTGGGAGACGCTGCTGAAATGATCCCCCTCCCTGCCCAAAAATGGAACAACAGAAATTAGTTGTAGATCTGACCAACTGATGTACTGGCTGTTTCCTTGGAAACTTGATACTAACTGCTACCTTTCACTGCCCCACTTGATTGTTACTTTTGTAAGAGAGACCTAGAGCCCCACCTTACAAAATAAGGTGGCCCTGTTAGGATTCTAAATCACAGTGTTTATTTTTCCTTTGTTCTACCTATCTGGTTTTCAACTGTCATACGTAGACTGAAAATTATACGCAGTGATTTTTTTTTTAAGTACTGGGGATGGAACCCAAGAAGCATTGAGCTATAGCCTGTCCAGTGGTAGCGAGCCTATGGCCCATGTACCGCAGCTGGCTATTTGTTAACATCGAAAGCTCTAAAAGGGTCTATCTTAGTCATCGCTACCTTACTCCTTTCAAATTTTGAGACAGGGTCTCGCTGTGGTGCCCATTACTGTCTTGAAACTTGTTGAACTTGTTCCTCGTGCCTCAGCTTTCTGAGTTAGTTGGGATTACAGACATGTGCCACTACGCTGGGCCATAAATCTTTAATGTCTGTGCCTCTTGATTCAAGGAGCCCCTCAAGAGCAGGATCCCTCACTTATAGTCATGGTTATGTCCCCCAGCTGAACAATGAAATTGGTGGATGTAGGAGTGCTAAGTAAAATTTTTTCCAATGAATGAGTTAATTAATAAGAAAGCACATGGTAAACTGGATTCACTATAAAATGATGATTAAATATACCAAAAGCAGGCACCTCCTTCAGTCCTAATTTTGTCTTTTTTAAAATTGCTTTATTTTGAGCCACACTTACCAGTGTTTTACTAATTCCATAAGATTTGATGTAACTCACTCTTAACTATTTTTTTTGAGATGGGGGCACGTTTTTCTCATGGCAATATTACTTGGCACACCCACAACGCTGATGCCACAACTCCTACCTGTGTTCAATGAATGGATGCTCATGATTTTGAAAGGAACACCTGACTAGCACTTGCAGCTGATTTAGACAGGAAGCAGATAGGGTCCTGGTGCAGCACCTGAATTCTGTGTCTTTCCTCATTCCCCAAAACCACTCTCATAATTCCTGACCCTCAGATGCGCTCTTCAAGGGTACACAAGTCAGAATCCCTTGATGATACTGTGACAGCTATTGCTGGGTTTGTCGTAAGGAGGGGAAGTGAAAAATCAAACCAAGCTATGGAAAATATTCATGATGAGACTATGAATAGGTCTTTTCATTAAAAGCAACCAACAAACCATAATCCAGTCCTTTTCCAAGGAGGCTTCGGTGTGCCACCTCTGTATGAGTGTTGTCGTTGGTGGGTGGGAATGGCAACCAGCCAAGTGGAAAATTTCACAGCCCAGCAAACATTCAGCTCACGAAACACCGCCAGCCTACAATCTGAAGGAGCTGTATGGCAGGTGCCAAATACCCACGCTCCTGCCGGGCCGCTGGTACCTACCTTATACACCCTCTCTTCTCCCTTAGCTTCCTGCTCCCTACCTTCCCTTCCTTTCTCCCGGAAATTTCAAATGTCTTGGTTCGATTCTGTTTCCCACCCCCTGCCCAGCCACAGCGGGCCAGGAAGACCTCTGGGAGCCCCAGGAGAACTGCTTACTGGTGCCTCACCAGAGCTGGCTTTATATTCTGGCTCTGAGCTCGTAACAGGCTTATGGCCACTAATAATACTCTGCATTTACATAGTGCCTGCCTTCTCGGGAACTGTGAGTACTTTGTAAAAGTGATCTCATTGATCAACCCAGTGAGGTATACAAATGGCAAAAGGTGCTAGTCCTCATTCCCTTTTGCAGAATGTGAAATCAAGTAGCTTAGCTTTTTGTTTTTGTGGAGCTGGGGTAGAACCCTGGGCCTCATGCATGGGTTATTTTGCACCATACCGCTGTGCTACACCTCCAGCCCTTGGTGGCTTGAGGCTATTCTGCAACTTTTCATCTCAGCCTGAATTAGTATCTGAAGTCTCCCAGAATTGGCTTCAATTTTATGGAGAAGGGGAGAAAAAGGGAAAGAAAAAAAGCAAGCAAGCAAGCAAGCAAGCAGATTGTGCCACATCCCCTGGGGCAAGAGCAAAAAATACTGAATTTCATTTTCAGGACCGGATACTGAGTTGAGGAATGGTCTTGGGTGAATTATCAGTCTAAATGATCATTGACTTCCTTTGAGCTAAGGGATGTGATCATGCATTTATTTATTTATTTTTCTGTTCCCATGCTAGGTATTTCTTACCTGTCAGTGAAAAGAAGGAAGAATACATCTGAGCCCAGGCGTCCTACAGCTTCTGTGAAAAGTCTCCATGGTGAACTATAGGCCGAGGCTCCCTGGGAACGGTGTGCAGTGAATGTTGTAAGTTAGCAGCATCTGCAGGGGCTTGTCTCGTGCAGATTTGTGAATCACTGGATGCAGCCAAGCCGGGGTGATGAAGGGGTATTAGCGCAAGCTCTAGGTGATCATCCAATTAATTCCTTTTCTTAGAAGCGGTTCTGTTTTTATTTGCCGTGAGCTTGCCTTTCTCAGCTTCTGCAGAGCTCTGCTTGTTATCTACCTCTGGGATAAAAGACTGAAATATACTCTTTCTACTGGCTCTTAGAGATGGGGCTATAGCCCCAGTAGCAAGTGTAGAACAGGCTCTTTAGATGGGGCTATTGCCGTTCTTTTAGGCAGATGAATAGGTTGAGGATTAGCACTGACATTTCTACTCAGATGTTCTTTATGTGAAGTTTTAAACTGGAACAGCATGGTTGTGTGTTTTATTTTTATTTTTTTTCCTGATGTTCAAGATCTTGAGGTATGGAAACATTCACAGTTATTTTGGGTGCTTCACTTATTCAAAATTAGCCAATTAAGTAACTATCTTTTATCAGGTCACGATAAACCTCAGGCACGAGGTTGGGATTTTGAGATTTGTCAAGTTAGTAGAGCTGCAGGCTTGCGGATGGTTCATGAGAAGCTTTAGTGTCATGTAACTGACATGATGATCAAGTATGAGCCTTAAGGAGATTGGTTGCTGTTAAACTTGTGGGTTTTATGAGCTGTGCTACTTCTTGGAGATTTTTGCTTGGTTGCTGGATTGTGTTTTGAAAAAAACTTCTGATGAATCTTGGCCAAGAAAGATGTAGCTACAGGAAACCTAGTGTGACCAGTGAACACCCCTGAGAAAAAGAAAATAATATTCCGTTCAAATTTTAGAAGATGAAGGGCCAGCTTCAACTAGGTGGTGTGTGTGTATGTATGTGTGTGTGTGTGTGTGTGTGTGTGTGTGTGTCTATTCAATATGGGTATATAAAGTTTTGACTTAATTCAATGAGAGTACTTTTCCAGTTGTTTACCACTTAGTTTTTTCCAGTTGTCCAAAAGATTTAAAAGATGTAATACATATCAGGAAAGAAAAAGACTGGCATTGAAAAGAGAATTTTCCACTGAATTTTTATTTCCTGGATTTTAAAACAGTTTGTACCAAAATATGCACTTGTATCTATATTGCCTGCAGGTAACATGGTAATATTGAAATGAACTTATTAAATGCAAAATTTGTAACTGCCTCATATCACACAGTGGGAGATGCTCGTATTTTAATGTATTTCCATTCTGAACATTTGACCACTTTGGTTCTAAAATGCACAGCTCCTGAAATCAGTAGTCTTAAATTTCATTGCTGGTCTTATCATAAGGTCAAGTATATTCACAACATTGGACAAATCACGAATGCCCCAAAAGTGGTATTTTGTTAGTCTGTGGATTGCTGGGTACACCTGTTTCCAAGCGGCTAACAGTTTGGCTTGGCAGCCCTGTAAGGGGCAGAATATTGTGTGGGCGCTTTAATTCTTACCCAAAATGATCTCTTCCTGTAAAACTTGTCACTCTCAAGAAATAATTTGGGGCCTTATTGGATTGAGATGTTGGGGTGTTCTGCTGGAAAAACTATTCCTAATCAGGTAACTGTTAGAAGAGTGATGTATTTTAAGGTAGTTTCATCCTGAAAAGCTAGTGTCATACAGGAAAATGTTTCAGGTTCAGGCACAGCTACTCTAATCAACAAAGTTTTCATTTCACATCTGCTGGTAGAGGTTTTTTTAATGGTTGCTTTGAAATGTCCATGTCTGATCTCAGAGGTTAAGTGAAGTTTTCGGAATTTCTGAAGTGTGAACTTAAAGATGCCACATGGCAGACTTAAAGTAACTATAAAATCCTTCTGGAAGTGGAGTGTACTGAGAGAAAGGAAGAAAATACCAAATTCCAGTGGACTTGGTAAGCACATTAAGGACTCCAAAATGGCTTTGCTTGAGATGGGAGGGAGCTTCCCAGTTTTCTTAGTAGCCTGTAGTATCAGCCACTTCTTGTGATCCTGGCACAATTTTACAACAGAGTTTACCCTGGTTTTAGTGTCTTGGTGCTTCAAACCTGGTGCTGCAGAGCGGCAGTGTAATAGGGAAGGCAGCAACTTTTACAGAATGTGTGTTTGCACGTAGATGGCGTGGGTGTGCGGGTGTGGGTGAGTGAGCGTATGAGTAATGATTGTAGCAGCCACGGGGATGAGCGGTTCTGTCCTCGGCAGGCACCCCGAGCTCGTTACTCATTGCATTTACTCCTCTGCTTCTTATTAACTGCCTCTTGGATCTGTCACCATCTTTCTAACAGATGGCCTTTGCCCCTCAATGTCTAAGAATGGCTCTAAGAAGTGCTAGCTTGTACAAGAAAGGAGTGGCAGTGAATGCTGAATGAAGAGTCAAGAGATCTGGGTTTTACACATAGGGCTGCAGTTGACTGTGTAACACTGGGCCCCTGAAGCCCTAAGGACTACTCTATGATGGCAGTTGAGGTCAGTGATCTATAGTGATTCTTTTGGCATGTGATGCTCCATAAAGCACAAATCTCCCATGAGGCAGATTGGATCTTCATTGTGATGCTTTAAATCTAAAATGCTCCCCACAAGTCTCATGTGTTCAGAAGCAGGGGCTGGTTGCAGGAGGTGGGTCACTGGAAATGTGACCTGGAGGTGTGCTCTTGTCCTTGGCTTCTCCCTTTGTTCTCTCTCTGCTTCATTGGGCAGCTTTCCCGTACCATGCCCTTCTACCATGCAGTTTCTGGTTTTGAGGCAGCCAACTCTGAACGGAACTCTCTGAAACCATAAGTCAAAATAAGCCTCTCCACCTTTTAAATTGCGGTGTCAAGTTTTTTGTCCTAGTGGTGGGAAAGTGACTGATACCCATCTTTCACCCTGAAAAGTCAGTGATTCTGCATGACGTCATTTACAGCTACTTTAATACATTAAGTAAGCCTTATGACAAAAGAAAAGAAAAGAAAAGAAAAGAAAAGAAAAGAAAAATTATGCTTATCACCCCATAGAACTCCTTCCACAAGACCCTCCCAGGATCTGCATGGTAATTCAAAGTATCTATTTGAGGGTTTCCTAAGGATATAGTTTCAGTCGTATATATATATGTGTGTGTATATATATATATATATACACACACACACATACATACATACATACATACAGGGCCTACACTCATTAGTCATGTTTAAAAATTAGAGAGGAGCCATTTTTGTTTCATTTTGCAACGCTGGGGAACCCAGGGCCTTGCCCATGGTAGGCAAGAATTCTATCACTGAGCTATGCTACCAGCCCAGGAGCCACTTTTGAATTTAACTTTTGTAAAACTACCTCTAATATTGTTTGGTATATGGCCTAGAAGCCCATGATCTGTATTTCTTGCCTAAGTTTCTCTGCTTCCCTAAGTGTTATGGCTTATGTCTCGATTTCCCCCCAAAGCATCATGCAGTCATAGATGCTGCTTTTTCAGAGGTGGCTGGATCTAGCATCCGTGACACTGGCATTGATTCATGGTGCAATGCTAGGATCAAGGGTGCTAGGATTAAGGGTATGAGTGCTACCACCCTAAGTAGCCTGGATAAGATAAAAAGGATAGAAGGAGCTGTGGTCACCTCTTTCTTGTTTTGCTACCTGCTACTCACCATGAACTGTTTCTCTTCTGCAATGCCATCAGTCACACTACCCTGCCTTGGAGCCAGCCTATTATACACTGAAAGCTCTATCAACTATGAGCTAGACAAAACCTTTTCTCTTTTAACTTTGGATGTCACGTATTTTGTCTCAGCAATGAGAGCAGTAACTAAGATACCAAGTTACCTTGTCAAAGCAGCCCAGCCTGATCTGTGTAAGGTGGCATTCGCCCCACGCCTCTCCATCCTCTGGCCTTTTTCCTTTTAAGTACTTTGCAGGTCATATGCTTCTTTGCTAGTTATCAGCCTCAAAAAGTAGACTGCACGCACCACAAAAGCAGGGATGGTTTTTATTATTCTCTAGGGAATCCCAGCAGCTGAAATCCAGCTTGGGTCCTGGCAGGCTCTGGGTATGCATTTGTTGAATAACTGTCCAAGGATAAAGTGTGCCACCCAGCTTCTCCTGGGTGGGGCTCACTGGTGAGGAAAAGGAACCTGAAGTCCATCCTAACGTGAGAATTGCTTGAACCTGGCAGCAGCTTGAGGGGATAAAGGATGCCTCAGGGAGTCCAGTCTATTGTTTTCCTTAGAAGTACATGCTAAAGGTCTCTCGCATGTAAGTAAATGTGAAGGAGAAAACCATTTGTTTTAAAAAGTTTTATAGAACTATCAATAGAATTTGGGGATTTTCTGATACTTTTTAAAAGAAAATTCTGCACTGTGTATTTCCTCTTCTTTTCCATCTGGGTGGTTTGTGGTTTGTTTGTGAGCAGAGCAGTGGTATTCTGCGGATGGGGTGCTTTGGATGGGGTGCTTTTATCTCTCTTATTCTTTTGTTATATTTGTATTCCTGTTTTGTCCCAAAGTCGGGCTGTGTCTGCCTTGAAACAGACCAGAAAGCAGCTGGGTGCATGCCATTCCGTGCACCACTGGAAATGAAGAAACAGTGCTCAGGTACAAAATAAACCCATCTCTGTGGGAGACAAAGGGAAGTGAGCAAAAGCCTGCCTAGGGCAACATGGTGCCGTATTGCTTTTGAGGACAGTGGCAGTAAGTGTGCCTGGAATTTTCTGTGTTTATTGACCGGCCTTTGCAGAGTAACTGCCCTGAGTGCAGGAGTTAGATTATTATCCCCGGGAAGAAATGGATGAAAACAGACATTGCTCTGCCTGTTGAACCAGCATTGTGTTTGCTGTCTTTATGCATCTTAAAATGGGCTCTGGATGTCTGGTCTCCAGAGTCAGGGAATTACACATCTGTATTCTAATAAAAGCAACTGGGAAATTTCCCTGTGTGTCTGTCAGTCTGTACCTTTTAGATTTACCATTTGGGATGCCAAGTTCTGTGGCATTATCATAAAAAGATCTGAAGTAGACATGGGT